GGCTGCGGAACAAAGCCCCGGCCCGGCCCCGGCGGGGCTCGGGCAGGCGGCACCCACTCACCTCCCGCCGGCGAGGAGAGGATCCCCTTCACCCGGAGGTCCAGGGAATCCAGGGACACCTCCATGTACTCCATGCTGTTCTCCTGGCCGGGGCCCTCTCTGCCTCCCAAAGATGGTTTATAGGCTTCGGCACCTAGATGGAAACACACGCGTAGTTACACGGCTAAAAACACCAGTAATAACAATATACATAAATCGCGTGCAAGCACGTGCGGGTGTAAGGGCCATATTTAAGCGAGCAGGCTGTATGCTGGCTCCTCAGAGAGGCCATGAGTACGGATGCACATAGAATTATGAAAATGAAACATCTGGGCATATATGACACAATTGATCTCTTATTTCCTTCCCTGTCTGATCAGACGGATTTTCCACTTCCACTTAGGTAGGTGACAACAAAAAAAAAAAAGAATAAATGAGACAAGTTCTGCCTCTGAAAGGCACATCTGCCTGCTGCCGTACTGCATCGGCAGCAGAAGCTTAAATGGCACAAGGAAGGGATGAAACCAGGGCTCAGCGCATCCTCCTGCCTCCGACCTGCTGCAAAGGGCTCCTGGTACACTCCGGCCAGGCAGAGCGAACCGGCTAATCATGTACATCGTGAAGAGGATGAGACAGGTGACATTCAGCTTAATGGGAGGGGAAAAACATAAAAGCCAAGTTCTGGCTGTAAGTGAACAAAGCTGCTGCCGGGAAGAGATTGCACGGGGATCCCTCGCTGGGAACAGACTGCGTGGGGACCCCTCGGAGCCTTCATGGGAATTGTCAATCTCTTTGTACTCCCTTGGCTTTGCTTTCTCTCCTGGTTTGCTTCTCCCACTCAGGCTTGGCCAAGGCATTAGCCTGAAAGACTGGCTGCCACCTTTATTGAAGGGGTGGAAAACCATCTGCATCTGAAATGAAGAATTAGCTATTTGCACTGAAAGGGATCAACGCCCCCCACTTCTTGAGAAAGGGGCCACCTTGGGAGGAAGAGGAGCAAGCCAGATGACTGACAAACCCCAGGCACAGACCAGAGGCTGAAACATGGCCATTTAGCTCAGAAGCAGACACAAATCTGCTGATAAAAAAAATGACCTGTTCGCAAAGAATTAGCAGACACGGAAGAACAAACTCTTTGATAGCATTGGGTGTGTGAAACCTTAGTAACAAAGCTGAAGGCACAGCATCACTTCACTTTTTTTTACCCATCTTGTTACCTTTCCTCAAGAAGAAGAATCAGATCCAGCCTGCACTCCCGGCTTTTCCCATCCCACAGCTTTCAGAGGACAAAGGCTGCTGAAACCTTCGAGTGCTGGGTAGCTTAGGTCAAACAAGAATGACCACCTGAACAATGTCCACACCATGAGATGGGCCAGAGGTAGTTCATTACAAACATTGTGGCGCTTTCAGAATAAGCAAAGACAACCTGCACATTCCATTCAGCTGGACAAACATCCATATAAAAGCAACTGAGCATCACTCTGGGGTGGTCCTTCCTTTCTCTTCTGCATCTAACCACACTCCCTGAGCTCATGGGATATGAGTCCACATGGACATGAGTCCACGAGGTATTTTTTGGATACTCTAAAATAAAGGGAGTTCATGAACAAAAAAATATTCCTCCAGCACGCCAAGTATAAAGCCACCTCATTTATTCTGCTGTTAAAGCGTGCACACCAGCAGTTACTGCCAGTGAGATGCAACTTACACCCTGGTTTATCATACAGCCCATCCTTGTAAAGGAAGAGCGAGCTCTGCAGACAGCCACTGCCTTATGGGCCACAGGTCCTTACCCCTCCACCTGGAAGGCTAATTTCTGTGTAGTTAAGGAACAAAACACAATTAATTACCTAGCACAGTGGCTTGTTTCTTTTTATTCCTCCGTCTCCTCTTGCGGGTGGGTTTCAGCCATGGACTGTCCGTCTTCCCTTTCCTCTTCAGCAGCTTCTTCTTGATGCTGGACTCCGAGCTCTGAATAACCAGAGAGGCCACGTGCATGTAAGGCATGTTGGTATCAGCATCCCAGCAGTCCTTTGCGCCCATGCGAAAGAGCCTTCTCGCAGCTTGAGTTATGCGAAAAGACCTTAAGGACTGCGGGTTTGAAATCAAGTGGTGCTAAAATGTCTTTATAGCACCCAAAAGGAAACACAAGCACACGTGTGGGTGTACTTCCTGTCATTTCAATGGTGCATGCTTCACTTTCTCTTCCATGTAGACTCTTACACCACACTCATCGCAGTAGTAGCTGAGCACCTCCGCGCAGCAATGCAAGTATGCAGGCACACGCACACTTTTAGCTTCTCCCCAGAAAAAGTTGAGGGCTTTTTTCAAACTAAAATATTCACATCGCTCCACAGTCATGCTAGAAAATGCCAACAAAAATCTGCCTTGCACCTAAAGAGCCACCTTACAGGGCTGGGAAGGACCCTGGGGAATTGAACTCTACAGTAGCAGACCAGCCCCCTCCCTGAGCAAGGTACAGGGCACCACACTAGCACGGACTATTCATGCAGTAAATATTGAGACACACATATGAATCTAAACAGGGTTTGGGTTTTGGTTTAAAAAAATACAATTGTCCACCAAGAGAGGTGGGAGAATGAAAAACTTCCTGCTACCATTAACAGCAGCTGGATCAGGCCCTACCTTCATGGCTTACCTTAAGAGGAAGCCGGTGCTGCACCATGCCCTGTTATCACAGTGAGCGAAGCTGGGCAAAGGTGGCGCTGAGCCCTGGCTCTCCAGGGCAGCTCTATGCACGTCTACGCTGTCCCTGATAACCGTCCCCGAGCGTGGGCTCGGTTGTGCCCCACCACGTGGCTTACATCAATTGCATCACACTGCTTGTGGGGGAGAGGTTTGCATTTGAGCCAGTCCCCTTCTGGGGAACCAAGTGACTCACCAGGTATGAGCAGAGCAAAAACCACCATCTAGGGTGTGGAGATATGACTTGAGAGTTTGGACTTGACTGCAAGCTCAACCCTTGGTTTGAACTAACACTACAGACTGGCCTCAGCCACCCGAAGAAAGGGGCAGGCTACACAGCCCTGCTGCTTGGTCCTCTCTGGCTCCTGTAGTGTCAGAATACAAGGAACAAGACTCTACAGAGCTTCAAAGATTCACTTGGTATAGTCACTTCTACCTTCAGCTCAAGACATCAAGAAAATTAAGCCAAGAATTTTCCCAAGGTGACTGAAGAATTGGGGTGCCTTAAATGCTGGCTCCTCAACTTGAGATGCTGTGGAAAGGGAGCAAAATTTTAAAGGAGAGGGTGGGGGACAGAGACAATCAATGAACAACAATTTAAATTAAAAAAAAACCAGGTTCTTTTCATCCGCCATCTAAGAATAAAAAGTAAAAATCACAAGCAGCTAGGGAAAGTCTTGCCCTAGCACTATACAGACAACCTCCTAGGGAGAGTGTCTGTCTGTCTGTGTGCTATTTGTATGTCTCCCTGACAAGAGATGCTCATCTGGTATCATGAGGTGGCATGTCAGATCAATGTGAATTCAGGCTGTGGGCTGGGCCAGTGGATTTCTGAACAACTCCACCTGAGCTCTGAAAAGCCATGCTGAGCTTCAGGTTGTTAAGAAAACATTGCTGGCTCCTACCACTTGCCAAGTCTGCATCTGAAGAATGTAAGCACCCTTAAATATTTCTACTAACATTCAAATGATTAAAAGCAGTTAACACCTTGTTGAAAACAACAAACAAAAGCCCATTAATTAGCATCAGAAAGCAATTAATTGTATCACAGATCAGGGTTAAGCACCTTGTGGAAAACAATACTCTGTGTGTGGGTGTTTTCAGAGAGTGAGTTTTGTCAGAGATATGAAGCTACAACGCTTCCCGCTCTCTCTCTCTCTGGCAGCAGTGCAAAGGGGAAATTATTATCAACAGGACAAAGGCTGAAAGACACATTTAGCAGCCAAGCTTACCAAGTCAGATTCATCTCCATCTTCCTCCTCCTCCCCAGACTCTCCAGACTCCTGTTCCTCCTCAGACTCGCCATCATCAATCTGCAGCCACCATTTGCCCAAGAACAGAAAGAGTCAGTCCGGTCAGGTCTCTCAAAGCAGAGCATCCTCCCCATCATCCTGCTGCGCCCAGCACCCAACCCCAGCCTGCGTGTGCACTAATATAATTTCCTCTCCGCGACAAGAACTCCAAGGCTGTTAATGCACATCATCATACATCCATAGGGATGGTACAGGGAAAAAAAATTCAACCCCAGAAGAAAGTTTTCCAACCAAATCTTAACTTCTGTGATCATCCAGAAACAGCCTCGTGCCTACACTATGCATCACGAGTTGGGAAAAAATTAACTAAACCAATTTTAGTGCTTTACCAGCCTGTTACAAGCAAGATTAGGAAGATGTCTGTTACTGTTTCAGTGAATCCCATAACTATATGTGGTGGGGGTTCTGCATGTATACTGGACCACAGACATATGTAGCAAGGCTGAAACTGGGGGGTAGGTGGGGAGACTCTCACGGGTACAATGGAGAGCAGGAAATGGTCATCAAAAAGCCTCACTTCCACTGCTGTGCTTTCTGCCATCTTGCTGGCTAAGAAAACCTAGAAATTGCCTCAACTTGTGCCACTCCTATCCCACGGGTACAAACAGTGTCCCATCCCACTCCAAGTCCTGCACAGGGCATGTGAATACCTTTCTGGCGTTGTCTGCATCGGACGCGCTGTCTTTAGAAGTCCTGTTGTCATCTGCAGGAAACACAGCTGCCTGTTCTGTTCCATGATCATCCTCCTCTTCCAACTCATCAGAATCTTCCTCTTCAGAGTCTACATCTATGCTTTCCCCGTTCACGTGAGGGCTGGCATCACCTAGGTCCTTTTCACTCTGAAAGTCATCCAAGCACACGAGCCACAAAGACAACATCAATTCATAGGACAGAGCAGCTGAATCCATCCCAGACCACCTCTGTGTTAGGAACCTTAAAGCTGCCAGGAGAAAGCTGGCTATATGTCCCTCTAGAGCTCTTCAATGGTGCCAGCAAAATCAGTCTGAGAGCCTGCCATGTGTCACCTAACCCTGTCGACCTGGGGAACGAAGAGCCACGAGGAGTCATTCCAGTCTTATGGTTGTACAAGGCATTAAGGGGAGGAGGGCTGTTGGGCAGGAGCCTTCAGACAGACCCCTGCAGTTTAATTCAAACACGGAAGGGCAGCTCCACTGTGGCATATCAAGGGTGCAAGAAGGTTTCTAGGGAAGGGAAAGGGAAGTTAAATCAGAGAGAAGGATTTTCACTCCACTCCATGAAAGCCTAGCACTGTTTTCCTTAAATTCAAAGACCAAAACTTCAGGGTATGGGTCACAGCAAAAGCAGAATTTGATCAGGAGCGAGTCCCTGTCTAAAGCTTTTTAAGTAACCAGTTGTTTTGCTGTACAGCCTCAAGCAGCAACACTAGACAGTTACCTTGAGGACTTTGAAACAAAAAGGTTACAACATGGGTACGCTTGAAATCTCTCCAGTTCCACAGGATTCATGGGACAGAAGGGGAACATTCACTGGAAAATGTTTGTTTAAGAGTTGGTATCTGAACAGCCACACTCAAAAAGCCATTTTCAAAGCAGCAAGGCTGCTAGGGGCACGATGCTGTTACCAGGATGCTGTCACCACGTAGACTCAAAATGGAAGATGCTGATGACAACAGGCCAGCACGTTCCTGCACTCATACATGGGGTTTGTGTGCCAGGACAAGGGATGTGTATGGTGACAACAAACATGTCGAGTGGGCTTAGCGCTCCCCTCACCTTGGCACCCGCAGAGGAATGAGTTATGCTCTTAAACATCTCAATCATTGTTCTCTGTTTTAACACTTTGGTCTTTTTCTTGGGAACCAGGCTATAGGTTCCCATTCTCCGTTTCTTCTTCCGAGATACTGCAGCAGCTGGAAAAGAGAAGCAAAAAAACCCCAAAGTTCAAACCCCTCAGGAATGAAAAGAAGGGGTAGAGAGTAGAGGCTGTACTGGGGGAAACCACATTTGAGGACACAATCTGAGAAAAAGGCTTCCCACTCTAACTAATTTATTTACAAGTCAATCAAAAGATAACACACACATACGTGCAAACACACAAAGAGCCTTCTGCCAGTGCTGCAAACCCACCCAAATTCTGAGTATCCTCTCCACGCTCCTTCTGGCCCCTACATCACCATACACAATATCAAATCCTTAAATTAGCCTGCGTTTGGCAGTTTTGCTGATGCCGTAGGAGGCTGAATAGAATCCAGCTTGCTCAAATAGATGCAAGGCTAATAATACCAACTTACAATGAAAGCGATCATACAATAACTGAAGAACACACAGGGAAAAGGTACCTTAAATAAAAAGCCATTTGCCATTGAACCTCATTTCACACCTACTATGGAAGTTTGTTTGATTCCTTTCACTATTTTGATTGGGTCTTAATTTGTTAAGTCTCCCTCCTGGCCTTCTAATCAAATCAGTCATCACACCTCACTGCCTGATGCTGTCTTTGGTGAATACACATCAGAGGGATGCTTAGTGCAGGCTTTTAAGAATAGTGTACAACAGGGAACAGCCAGCTTCAGCACCAGTATTACCGTTCACAGCTATACAGCCTGTTCCTTGAAAGCATTTCTTCATCTCCCACTACAATGAAATTTCACCAAAGATCTATGAAGAGACCTCTCAAAAAAAAAAAAAAAAAAAAAAAAAAAAAAATAAAAAAACCACTAAAAAAAAAAAAAAAAAAAAAAAAAAAAAAAACTGTTAACCCAATTAATTTTATTTTATAAGGCTGTAGTTCACGGTAAGCAGTTGTTGTGGTGATATACAAAGTCCTTCAGAATTTATAGAAACATCTTCAGAATATCACACGGGAAGATGGGATGAAAGTGTCTCCTCTAACAAAAACTTTGAGCAGAAGAGTGATCCTCGGTGTGGTGGTGCCTGATGGAGCATGCCTACCTGCCCGCGCTGCCTGGGCAGGACCTGCACCCCACAAAACAAGGCGGCGCAGGAAGGACTGCAGGGGAGGTGCTCTGCGGAGCAGAAAACTGGTGGACTTCACTACTTTAACAGGGGACTGCAAGAATGTGCCCCGAACAACATCCAGAGGTGGCCAGAAGGGAGTCCAGAGGACACAAGCATCACGCTTGCAGTGCAACGGCCACTTGCAGAGAAGTGGCTAGATGAAACGGCATCTGTCAAACAAGGCCTACAGCAGCAGGCCTGATGCCAGCAGGAAAGGAAACGCTGAAGGAGATTCTGTGGGAAAAAGGTACTAACAGAGGTTTCAGTCCTTGTTAACCTGCCTCATCTCCCCCTCAGCCACATACACACACATTTGAGAGGTGGGTGCTGTTAGGAATTTTAACTCTGTCCTTTTTACCCGTCTGCGACTTCGTGGTGGCCACATAGCTCTGGTTCTGAGGTAGTGACTGGTGAAGGCCCGGGAGAGAGGGCAATGGCAACGGCTTCCCAAACTCCAGGACATTTTTGTTGCCTTCCTCCTTGGATTCTTTTTGATCTCTGCTGTCTCTCCCATCTTTGGGGTCTTTACTTGCATGCTGGAAAAAAAAATGCAGTTAAATTGAGCCTCTGCATTAAAAAAAACAAAACAAAACAAAAAAAAAAATCAAGAAAATAAGTTTAATTCTTTTCTCTCAAACATAATCACTTTCATCTGAAAATAGGACCAACATTCAAAGCAAAAGCACACAGCCCCTCCTCTAGCACATACTGTTACTTTGCCTAAAGACTGCAAGAACACTCCCAGCCTGCTGCTCCTTCACTTGTTGAAGGCTGTTGCCTTTGAAGGTGAAAGGCTACCTCGCAGAGGCAGAGATGGCAGATCCAAAGCAACTGCAGATGACGAAAAGGATCAGACGCTATTTACACCGGCATTTGGTTGGCTCCGGAGAAGACGAATGAATTACAATAAATGCATCTATTCCCTGAAACAAGCAGCTGTCACATCAAGCATGCACGAGAACAGAGTCTTGCAGAGACGTTTTGGAAGAGCCGGCAGCAACAGGAAGGGATCCTTCCTTTTGGACAGCCTTTGGCACAATAAGGCTTAGCAAAGGCTGTGGTCTCCTACCTCTAGCCTAGCACACGACGAAACACAAGCAAAGAAGGTATTTGCCTGACATTGTAGGTTCATCTACAGTGCTGCCGCAGCAAACACCTGCCCGAGCTTACCTTAAACTAGCTAGCACAGGTACTGCTGACCTAGCTGTTGCAACACCAAACACAGGACAGGCTACAAGCTCCTACTGAAAACCTGATCAGGCTCAAAAGAATTTTGTAGTTGCTCCTGCACTCCCTGTCGCTGGAGCCAGGCTCCCAGGCCCCAAGGCAGCTTGCACCCGCTCTGATTCGAGCTTGTACTCAATGCAAAGTCTCATCCAGCACCTTCGGGCATGAAAGCAGGGTTCCTACAGCCCGTGTCCCACAGCACTGCACCTTTTGCAGCAATCACTGTAATAGCAGAGAGTGGGGTAAATGTTGCCATTCTAACTTGACATCTTACACCAGATTTGCCCTCTTACGTATTTAACAGATGACCCAGCTGCATCCACACCTCTCCATACATCTGTCCACTCAACTGTCAAGTAGGAGGCAGTTTTGGCAGAGATACTCCAGAAAATCAAGAGCACAGTTAGCAGATTACAAGCTCTGCGACAGCAATGTTTTATTGCTGCTCCACTTGCAGGAAAATACTTCTTATGGGACTTTTGAAGCAACAGCTGAAATACCAAAAAAAAAAAAAAAGAGGAATCCAGGCAAAAGAAAGGAAGGGAAAAAAAAGCAGCGAGCAACAAAAACACTCTTTAAAGTCCAGGTTCAGATAGGTACTCTTAGACACTGCTTTCAAGTAATGTGACCTTGTGAACAAATGGGGAAGCGACTGATTCTCCTAATTACGGCTCTGCCATGTGCACACTGCTGGCAGAAAGCGAGGACTTGGTCGCAGACAGAAAAGCTGTAATGATAATCAAAAATGACCTGCATAAAGAGGCCATCAAATTGCCAATGATTCCTGCATCAAGCCTATAACTTATGGCTGAATTGCCACATCTTTTCTTAAAAGGCATCTGTCTTGGATTAACAATTTCAAAGACGACAAATCTACCATATCCTTTGATACGCTGTTCCAATGCTTAATTGCTCTCACTGTCAAATAATTAAATGTATTATGCTTTTTCAACTAAATTAAAAAGCCCTGTATCATCAGAAATTCTCACTCCAAGTACATACTGACGGAGTATGATCAACTTTTTTTTTTAAAAAACTTTCTCTTCAATAAGTTTAATAGAATGAGCAAATTAAGCGTCTTTAGGATGATTTACTGGACACTGGATCACTCCTGAGACTGCTCCCCGTTCTTCTACCCCTTAAAAAAATGTACGTCAGGAGTGCTGGGCACAGTATGCCAGTAATAGTCTCAACAACACTATTTATACCTCTTAGAAGTCCCTAGTTTATAGATCTAAAGGTTAACAGTAACTCTTGGCTACAGGATTATTCTGAGAATTCCCAAGTCCCCTGGAACATCCGCTGCTTTCCGGTTTTAACTTAAAATTAGAAAAATGAGCTTGGGAGGCAGATCTGATGCAGAGCTGCCTGCAACAAGTGTACGTAAGGGCTGCATTTTTTGTCCTTTAAGTGCAGGTTCTTGCAACTGGTCTCTGATAAAACGTGCTGTTACTCGCAAACATCAAGAATTCATATTCAGACCATGCCAGACTGTTTGGAAAAACATAATCAAATTTTAAATGAAAAAGTAATATGTTATTAGCTTGGGGTTCTTCTCTCCCCCTGTAATTACAATATGCAAATAAATTAAAAATCTTCAATAGGGCTGCATGACAACTGTTAAATGTGACTTTTTCATGGCAATTCCGGTAAAACAGTTTTTAAAATCAAATTAAGCCTTGTGAGATCTGGATTATTACTTGGAGACATATGCAGCAACGCTAAAGAACAAGAATTCCTGCAGAGAGGTGACCAGATCTCTCAGGAAGCCTGATGGCATGGGAAGCTGAGGAAGCCAGCAGTAAAACATACATCTCTCTCTCTCTCTCTCTCTCTCATGTATATAAATAATCCTAAATCTAAGGATTGTAATAAAAAGGATCAGTAAAGATTTGAAAGTACTCATATACTCAGTCCACACACAGTTTTCTCACCATCTTTCTCCATTCTTAGCTAGATAAAACAGTTACATCTTTGCTGTTCTTATTAAAATTTTACCCTTCCAGTAAGTAGAGTGTTTAGTGGATGAAACTTAATTCTCTTCCCATTTCTAATGTCTCTGAATTCTGCCAGTTCCTTAACTCGAGACTGTAGGTATAGCCCATCCTGGTCTCCTACCTTGAGCTTTTATGCTCTGCTCTACCTGCTCCAAATTTAAACACTCCCAGAAAAGAGGCTTTGCTAATCTAGCATGCTGCTCTGCTGGGAAATTTCTTCTTCCTTAAAATCCCATCACACTGGCTAAGAGCTGGTTCAAGCATACTTGGGCCCTTCCGCGCAAAGATGTTCTGCATCCTTCGCTGCCCAGGTTACAACCAGCACCTGACACCTCTCCGCAGAGGAGAGTGGGCAGGTTCAAATAAAAGCAGCAAAGACAAAAGACGGACTATGCATTTGGGAGTGGGGCGAGTGGGTGCTAGACTATTTGGGGCACAACAGACTTCTATCAAAGCAAAACGGAAACAAAAAAATTACAGTGATCCATTTAAACACAAAGCTCACAGATCCACCTGCAAACCCCCAGTACCATCAGAGGACTTCTCAAAACGCTGCATGTACGTTTAGCTCCAGCAAGTTTCCTGCTAGGGAAAAGGCTGTCCCAAGCAAAACATCAGACCAAGGTTTCTCCTGCAAAAGAGGCAGGGCTGGCAGAGCAGCTACCTCCAGCCCTGCCACCCCATGCCCCAGCCCGGGGCCAGTAGGACCCAGCTCTAAGCCACCTCCATGGGCTTCACGGTCACTGGCACAGCTGATTGCAACTAATGCTCCTGTCACGTGCCACTTTCTTCCACTTTCATGATGGATGGGTTCCTCCTGCCCTTCCCGTTCCTAGCACAAGGCACAGCATCAAGCAGGTATCTATAAAACTGCTTGCAGCCCAGCATCCATCCAAGCAAACTCCTGATTCTTCACGTACGGCCTCTCTTACCTTCCCCCAGCAGAGGACACTCATGCTGGCAAGGCACAAACAAAGGGGGTTGCGAATAGCAGGTGCTTCAAAGACCCCAACAGAGCTGATCACTAGTCAACATCTACTCATCCACTTTGCTGTCACAAATCCTAACATGTTCCTGCTTCGCTTCCTGAAGATCCAGAGTCCTCTGCTACAGGTGGAAAATGTCAGACTGGCAATGCTGGAGCAGAAGGAACCACACCGGGAAAGCGATGCGTGGCTTTCAGTGATCTCTTGGGCACGGACCGATCTGCTAAGCATACTAACGAGGGTACGCACACTTTGAGTTGCCTGCATTTTTAACTAAGCATACTCCTCCACTCAGAAACTGGATGAAGATCATCCTCCTTCACTTAAATCAACAAACATTCAAGAGAGCACAGGTGCTTTCATCTAACACCTACATGGGTTCCACTGCAAACAGCAAAATTAGAGGCGAGAAGCACTATTCCTGACCCTAAGTAAACTCTGTTGCTGTGTGTTATCCCTGTCCAAAACAGCTGTGGTCTTTTTCTTTTTTCCCCAATTATACTTAGATTTTTAACAGTCAAGCACAGTTCTGTTTTCATCTACAGATTTAGAGAAGTTGAGTGAGGAGCGTTCCATGCAAAGGCAACTCCAGGACGCCGTTTGAGCTCCCTGTGTTCGCATGTTGTCCCGACCACCACACATGTGGACCACTGGAGGCCAAGAAAGGATCAAAAATGATAGCGGAAGAAACGGCGTTGCTAACATCATTTCTCGCAGCTTCTCAGGGGTATCAGCTCATCCTACGCAAAAGGCTGTAAAGTCACTATTTCACGTTGGGCATTGCAAGGAATAGTCAAGAAGCTGGAGACAGCTATTCCAACAGCTCAGGCCAATGTTTCCAGAGATGCTTGTGTCTGGAAACAGCAAAAATGAGACCAACAACTATGTCTGACACCATTGTGAGAAAAATAGTCAAGAAAACTGCTTAGATTGGGACAAGAACACAATATTTTATGTGTTTATAAAAATTAAACTCAAGTGCTTTCTACATTTTAACGGGATTGACCATGTTTCTATTATTGGCACGGAAGTCCCCTGCAGCAGCAGGGAGAAGTTACTAAAAATGGCAAAAGACAGAATATCCTCCTTTTTTTTTATTCCAAAAGCAAATATACAGAACAAACAATCCTTACTAATTAAACCCCGCGTTGGTTCGACAGACCGCACACGGCATTCTTCCCACAGCCCAGCAATTAAGAGGTCTTTCTGTTACCAAAGCAAGCAAGCCAGCAACAACCGAAGAGAAACCAGACCAGAACTCCATCCATGTATTGGGCAAGGACACTGGCAAAGATCCTGCAGGTCCTGCTTCGGAGCAGGGCAGCTTCCAAGAGTGTGCAGAAGTGCTCTTGACACCTGAAACCATCTCCAGCTTAGACATACAAGCTGTTTTATTTCTCTTCTTTTAAGGACTTTCCTCTCCGGCACAGTACGAGCTTGAAACCAAAGCCAACTAGCCAGGAGGACTAAACTAACCGCCACTGCCACCGGGCAACACGGCAGCTGTCACAGAGCATCCCCCTTCTCTCCATCCATCACTCAGATGTGGAGGGGTAAGGAGATTTGTACCAAGGCACTGCCTTTGAACAGCACAAAGCAGCAGCTCCCAGGGGTATCTGCCTCTAACAACTGGTGAATAATATTTAAGCAAGAAATACCAGTCTGCTATAAAAAATTTATCACAAGCAGATGACAGTGCCTGTAGGAGCTGTAGTGGTGCTACTCTCCCTTTCCTCCACTGATGCAGAATTACAGTTTTCACTACTGAATTTTGCCACAGCTGCCAGGGGATCGTGACCCCTGCCTAAGCCTTACCTTGGAGCCACAAAAAGAAACCTGCAGGGCTTTGGTCTTCATCTAGATCAGTCAAGCTGCAAGGCTGATCCACCTATTAATGCAGATTAACACGTGCCCATTTATTCGGTGTGACTTGATTACAATTGCACTGATTTGTGCGTGGTCACGTATCTGCATAAAATCATAGGGGTTTAGGCTGCCAGGCAGACTGTGCTAAACTAAGCTACAAACCTGCATTTAAGGGGTTTCAGAACCAGCATTGTTCAGAGGTGTGGACCCTGACAGGTCAGGGGAGACCCCACTCCTTGTCCCTGTCCCCTCCTAGATCAAGCAGCTCAAGGGAAGGGAGTGTCACACATCAGTCAAAACGAAACAGGGTAGCTCAAACCAGTTTCGATAGCAAGCCTCCTGACAGAAATAGGTCTGCTGGGGACCTGGGACTGGGACGATTATTTCTGCGGGCTGTGGTCGGCAGCTAGGGTAGCCACCTTCAGCCGTCGCGGCTGTGTCAGCAGGGTGAGTCCAACCAGTTAAATACAAAATTAAAAGTACCGCACAATGTACATTCACTTTCTACCTCCCTCTGCAGTAAACCCTCTATATAAGAAGTCCAATGGTAGTCTATGGCCTCGTCACTCCTGAAGGAGATTTCCCATAGGGCACATTTAACTGTGGCCAAGCTTGCACACATGGAGTTCACACTTTGAGTCCGCCCGTGCGCACCTGAATACCCCTCTGGAGAGGATCCTCGATGGATGCACCTTCTAGGTTCAGACAAGCTGACAGCAGCACTTGCAATCAGACGGAGAGCTCTATTTCACTATGCCCTGTACTCTTCTTTTTATTTTTTTTTTTCCCCCCAAGGAGACAATATCCCCATCCCCATTAGAACCTGCCCTTTGAGTTTTCTGCATATTAGAGGGTCTGAGCCTGCTGAGCAATCCCAGATGCTTGCAAACCACCAACTGCCACCTGCCTGGCCCCGAGAGATGAACACAAGATGTTCTCAGGCCAGGAGCTCCTGCAGAGCAACCCACAGACCACATCAGCACACCACCGCAGTACTGCTGGGCACTGACATGGAAAATAATACTTTACAGCAACAGCAACACCTGTGTGCGCACAGAAAGAAAGCAGCTTACCAATCCTGGGATCAGATATTTAGTGGCAACGCTGCTTAAAGGTATAGTCTGATGAATATTGGTAGAAACACCAACATAAGCAAAGCATCTTCTGCTCCAAGCTTCTCCTTCCTGCCCAGGCTTTGTCTCCCCCAGTTAAATTGGTACCCTAGGTTTTGGGCTCATACTGTGAAATCAAGCTGAGATACGGATTTCTCAGATTTTTGCACTATTTCTTCTGACAGTTCAGTTCCCCTGACCCTGAGCTCTGCACAGCATAAAAAAAAAAAATACCGCCAGAAACACACACCTCTAACTACAGCTTCATGGTCACCGAGAAATGAACGGAAACGTAACTTGGGATTCCCTATTCAGCCATCTGCTCCTCCTGTCTCAAGAGACAGCTATGGGATGCTTTCACTACCTATCATCCCTTATCCCTTCCAGACATTTCTTAGTGACATCAAGCGTAGAAACTGGAGTTTCTGAGCAGAAAGGCCTTCTCCAAGCTCAGGACACACACATGCACTTGCCCTTCAGTCTGTTGCTTGGTCCTGGAAACGTCTGGGTTCTTAATAGGATTGTAAATGGATTAGGAAGGAAAGAAAGAAATTCTTCTAAAGGGGCAGCATTTGTGTTACTGCACTAATCACTAATCAGAAGGGGAGCAGAAATGATTCTGTCAACAACTCTTCTGAGGTCTCTGTTCAAAAACCACATTAACATGCGACAACATCAATTAAAATTGTCACCTGTTTCAGATTCAGCTTCGATCCCAATTCAGGAAGCAACTCCTAAACAGAGAAAAAGCTGGTTAAATTTGTGAGAAAATTATTTTCTTCCTTTCAAAGACCAATCCACATGTGCAGGAAAAGGCTACCAAGGTCCCCTGACAGCTATTGGATGACAGAAAATAATTTTTTGGCCCCAGTGGGTTTCTGCAGGAGCCGGGGGGAACAAATGTTTACAATTTGCAGGCAACAAAATATCTTCCTTCCCTCCTTCTCCCAGGCAGCACAGGTTTGCAAGAACAGTCTACCAAGAAAACAACAATACTCCACAAAATATTAGCAAAGAAAACTACTGTGTCCTGTAACATCAATTTCTGGGTGATTTCCACGATTTATTTCCTGGAATACAGCACCTGCTATCATGGTGTTTTTGAAGGGGAAAAAGCGTGAACGTGGAGGCCGGTGCATGAAAAGTTACTGCAATGCTGTGTTGATGAGCCTCTTCTAAGCAGCTCAACAAAGAAATAATCAGGATAGAAAAATGACAACAAGCACGGACTCTGCTACTCATAAAAAATAGCATGTAAATTCAAAAGACAATGGGGAAAAATTAGGTAGTAATTATCAGGAAGGCTGAACAAAACAGATGTTTTATTGTCTTGCAGAAATGAGATCAAATCTTGGGTTCACATTCAGATGCAGAGGCTTGAACGGAGAACATGGGAACGGCCTCTTCCTACCACTCTTCCTGTGAATTTTGTTTCTCTCCCTATTTTAAGCCCAAGGGAAATGGTCAGAGGTGCTGAGGACAGACTACGCGCTTTCTAGAGTGGCCCAACAACTGCAGACTTTGGTTTTTGAAGCCGCTGTTACTGTGTGAGCAAATAACTATCAACAGCACCATCACAGCAACTCGTGTAACGGAGCGCTGCAAGCATTCGCAAATGTTACAAGCAGCTTTCTAGAGACAAACCTTGAAGCCCAAGGGTTTGCGTAAAAATATTCTTTTGATGTATCATAAAATATGAATGAGGAAAACACTCCCTCCTAACCTAGCAGTTGTCTTTTAGAAGGGAATTGCCTCTTTCAATTGCTCAGCCCCAAGGGATCTCTCCCTGTCAAATTCCACAAGGGTCTGGGGGTTTGCCTGGCCTTATTTAAGAGCACAAGAGGCTGCTAGAGGAAAGCTGCGAGGCAGTTTCGGTTGCAAAGCCTTGTTTGGGTAAGAGACAGCCTTATGCGAGATTTTCATCAGGCTGCATGTATTGCATCTGGGCTTCCCCGCTTGCTAGCCAGAAAACACAGCAGGGGTGCGAGAGCGAGAGAATTCAAATGCAATCAGGGGAAGACAGAGGGGAAATTAGCGGTTTGGGAGAGTGGTTGGGAAATCATGGCAGGCGTGGTTTCTGCCCTACTATCGAGGCTGGGTGCCCACGAGGTTTGTAATCTTGATGTGCTCTTTGGACTCCCACCTGCTTCCGGAGGCACAGGTGGTGCCGCAGCCAAGGGCACCTTTCCCCATCTGTGGCTGGCTAGGTGCCACCCATCTCTTTTTTTCTCTCTTCCCCTGCTCCAGACCACAGCGATTCACAGCTTTGAGACCTTCACATCATATTATTGCTGTGCTGCAACATGTGGGTGACATCTGAGGATCACTTTGGATTTGCTGGTCCATAATACGCTGGTAGCTAACAGCAATCCATTGCACCAACCTTTACAAAGCTGCAGCAGCTTCCCATTCATTTCTGGGTGTGACTCACATTGCCAAGCAGGGCTCGCAATCCTTTGCTTGACCTAGGTGCAGGATACCTAAAGACCAGTCTCTCTCCATCATTAGACATAGCACAATGGGAGGATCTAGCTCATTGTAGCTAAATATAAAGCGTCACAGAGCTGGAGACCAAGGGCTGGTAGTGGAGATCTGCCTGTTCCAGTATCTATCCCCTACCTTTGCCAAAAGAACCAAAAAAATAACCAAGAGAACCAAACCTGGCCAATGACAAAGAAAGGCCCATTTCTGTTCACCCTACTATAACATGAACGCACCAGATGACTTCACATCTCCTTTTGGCTCCTAAAAAAAGGCAGAGCTCTGTTTTATTAAGTGATGGTAAATCCACCCCTAAGGATTCTGGAGTGAAGATTTCTGAACAAGTTGCATTACTGCAGGCAACATACAAAAAAAGAGAGAAAACATCATCTGGTTTACTACCATAATGATACGGCAATGCAATCAAGTTGCCTAACATATCAGCTTCTTGACAGCTTTCAAGCTTAGGAGAAGCCTCAAGTTAACACGCTATGCTTAATTTCCTTTGGGTCAAACTTATAAGAAATCTAATTTGTTTCACAAGCAGCTCTGGATTTCAGCAGACGGCTGATGAACAATACAGCCAAGAGAGAAAGGCTATTTAGTGTCTCGCATAGATCTGCTGGAGAAGGTAATTGATCAATTATGTATTTAGAAACACATTGGGAAAGAGAGCTGATGGTGGCCATGTGACTATTTTAACACCTCTGTCTCTCTGTAGGAAAAGAAAAAATAAAAATAAATATATATTAAAAA